ATTACAGATAAAGCTAAAGTCCCCTTTGGTCCCAACCTATAAGCAAGTTAATGTTTATCCTTCCAGTTCTGTGTGCATTTATATATATATATCCCTGTAGGAAATGTTTTAATTTTTTGCCTAAAAGGCACATATTCCATATGATTATCAGCATCATGCCTTTTTTCCTCCAGCAATATATATTAGAGAACGGTGGCACATGGACACTCAACTATCATGAGTATTTGGATTATTTCCAACTTTACTGCTATCAACAACTCCTCAAATGAACACTGTTGTGCCTGCCTCCTTTAGCACAGTGTTTTCTGGGGGCTGCGGGTGTAGCTCAGTGGTAAGGCATGGCAAGGCCCTGGTTCCAATCTCCACCACCCCAACACCAACCTCCCAAAGTGTTTTTCTACAAGTGGCATTGCCGGGTAATAGGGTGTGGGTCTTTAACAATTTTATAAATGTTGCCAAGTTCTCAAAAATAGGTTTTTTTTTTTTTTTGGTTTTCCTATTAGCAGTGTTTCAGTTTCTTAGGTTTTGTTTTGATTACAGAAAGTTCACAGTAGAAAGAAATGGATACCTTAAAATTATTTAAAGACTTAGAAGTCAGGCAGGAGAGAGAAGATACTGGATAGAAAACAACTACATCCCTAAGGCAATGTTAGGGGAAGGTGTTCAGAGCACCTGAGTTAGATCTGTTTTCCCTTTGTGGATGTATGAAGCAGAAGGCAAAAGATTTGGGATGGGGGACTGCAGAATATGAGCACATTTTGCTGGGTGCTAGTGGCTCATGCCTGTAATCCTAGCCCTGTAATCCTCCCTGAGAGTGGGAGGATTGAGGTTTAAGGGCAGCCTGGGCAAATAGTTCAAGAGACCCGCACCTCCAAAAAAACCACAGTAAAATGGACTGGAGGTATGGCTCAAGTGGTAGAATGCATGCTTTACAAGCACAAAGCCATGAGTTCAAACCCCAGTCCTGCAAATAAACAAATAAATAAAAGAATAGGACAGTGATTCTTAAAGCACAGTCTAGGAACACTAACTTCATGAGATGACTAGAAAAAGTGTTCTATGGTCAAAAAATTTGGTAAATGCTGCATCCTATTTTTAGACTTACATGTTAACACATTAAAGGTTCTGAAAGTCTTGTGGTAAATAAACTTGTTTAACTCAGAATTTGTCAAACTTTCCTGATGTTAAAACAATTATTTATTTGTATAATACAAATTAATGCTCTGTTGAACCAATCTTCCATGAAATATACTTTGAGAAACATTAGACTAGTGAAAAGTTGAAGAAATGGCCAAAAAATGCCCAGCTTATCTCCACACATGAAAAAAAAAAAAATCAGAGAATAATTTAATGAGCACCATGTACCCACTTTTCTGAGATTAAATTATGACAACTATTAATGCTTATTTCTCTATCATAGAATATATGTTCATGAAACAAAGGTGGGAAAGAGAAGAAAAATAGGAAGAACCTAATCTTATTTTATCACCTTACTAAAATGACCATTAATGTTTTGGAGAAGTTAATCTTTATTTCTATTTTTTTTTTTAAACATCAGTCATACAGCATACACAATTCTGTACTGTGTTAAATATTTATAATGTACCATAAACATTTGCAAGGTTTTTTTTATGGCTAACATTTTTTAATAACTGCATAATATTCTAAGTGTATAGTCCTCTGTTTTATTATTCCCCTAGTTTTTTAGAATTTAGGTTATTTGTGTGCTGGGTGTAGTGGGTACATGCCTGTAACAGAGGCAAAGTGGAGGAGGGTTGAGTTTGACGCCAGCCTGGGCTACAAAAAAGAAAAAAGAAGGGGAACTTTTTCTTTTCTTTTGCTTTCTGAAGTAATACTTCAATGAGAGCACCAGAATATAAAACTTACTATAGTAATTTTCTTAGGATTTATTTGCCAAGTAGAATAGTAACATTTCAAACACAATTCCCATTTTAAAGGCTTTAGTTAAAATATGGCCAATTTGCTTTTGGGTGATAGAAAGAATGCATTGTCAGTGATATATCAAAGTTTTCCCCAGTTTAATTCAGATTCAAAAGCTTAACTTACCCATATTAAGTTTAATTTTGTTAGCATTGTGTATTTTTTTCCAGCTGATGGAGATTTACCAGTCCTAATCCATCATATATTGCATTATTTATCCCAACAGGTTTTGCAATATACTGTAGTCTGCTAAGTATGCTGGGTATATCTTTACCCTGGCAGTATTTACACTTTTTTACATAAAAGTAAGCAGAGGATAGAGTCCAAAGGAGGGGGCTAAAGATTATTTTGACATGTCAGTTTATCAATACCCTTTGGATATTGTTCAAGGACCTCCAAAGCCAGCTTTGTCAACATTTTAATTATGACTAATCAAAGAATACTGAAGCTACCTAACTGTAGTCTACTGTTCTCTAACTTGTTCACAAGAATTTAATTGAAAACTTTATTAAATATGGTACCAAGGGATGGCTTTTGGCATTTCCCTCATGATTCTCCAATAACTCTTGAGGCTCTATTTTACGCATCTGTGTATCAGAGCCTAGCACAGAATTTGCTTGGCATATAGTACACAGTAGATTTCCAATTAAGGTTTGTTTGAATGATATGCTTAATCTAGCATGAATTTATTGGACCTCTGTTTTCTCACCATAAACACCTTATGAAGCCAAAGACCTACATGCTCATTTAAAATGGCAAAGTATGTAACACAGTGAGCACAAGTTTTGTAATTAGAAGTCCTGATTTAAGTCTTGGCTTTGCAGGGGCTGAGGGAGTGACTTAAGTGGTAGAGCAAGCATGAGGCCCTGAGTTCAAACTCCATGGGGGTGGGGGTGGGGGAGAAAAAGCACATCCTTAAGTTTTGGTTTTGCAACTTACAAATTGGTAACTTTGTACAATTCTAGGCCTTACTGTGCTTAGGGAAAAAATGGTGATAACTCATCTTACTTTTCTTGCCTAACAGATTCTTAGAAGGGTCAAAACATTTTTTTTTCTAAAGAGAAATCTGAATGTTATTACTTTGTAAAAACCCTGGAATAACTTCTAAGTGTCCTTAAGAAGTCCAGTGTTTTATTTAACATGTCCTTACAAGGGTTTTCTTCGGCCTCTGGTCAGATCTCTTATCATTCTTCTTAGCAATCTAAGCTCTTTCCTACCTCAAGGCCTTTTTCGTAAACAGTTTGCTTATCTAGAATGCTCTTCCCCATAAACTACTACCAGCAGCAATCATACCAATAAGGAGCAATAGCTAAAATCTACTTAATTCTTACTAGGCACAGGACATTTTATATATTGTATTAGTTTATACATTACAAAGCAGCTTCTTTTCTTACTCTACTTGTACAAATAAGGCACAGAAGCAACTTACCTAGAGTAACATAGCTATGAACTGTAGGTACAGACAGAGATCTGTCAGAATTCAATGTTTTCAACATCTGCTACTAAGGTATCAAGTTTCTGCAAGAAGTGTTAACATCTTTCATTTCTTCTAACAGCCAATGTAACAGTTTATAACCGCATGTATACTTTATGTCTCCCCAGCCAGAGGATAAACAAGCCATGTCAATTCAGACAATATTGCATCTTGTTCACTTTGCTTCCCCAGCTTCTTGTACAATTCCTGGTACATGCAGTGGGCATTAATAGGCATTTGCTAAATAACTGAACAAGTGAAAATGCTTTTAAATAGGAAGGTACCAATTTCAGGTTTGAATTTAGCTAATTCACATCACCAGGCTTACCAGTTTGTGATCTATAGAATCCACTTTTGCCCTTTTGCAGTGTGGTACTTTTGCTTATATCCAGTCTTCTGGAACTTCGTCTGTTTGTCAGAATTCCTTAAGTCCTGCCAAGGAACACCTGCTCTTTCCAAGTGATTTTTTTTTTGAGAAAATCCTTTTCAGACAAAAACCTAAAATGTTAATTTTCCCTTCAGTGCTAGTCTTCAAAATTCCTTAAAATCTTATCACTCGGGGAAAACTACCTTTTAAAAATGAATTTCAAATCAAGACTAGACTGAGAGGAGCAAAGCAATCTAGTACACTTATAAATGAAACCTCACCATGCTGCCCAGGCAGCGTTGTCCCAGGTGGCATCTTATTTTTTCATAAAAATTTACTGAGTAAAAAATGTTACTTTAGTAACATAAATGCAGAGAAAACAGGTGCCGCACGGAGCAGGGGGTTTGTCCAAATCAACCTTTTTGGCTCACTTTTTTGACAAAGAGCCCAGAAACCACAGTAATCAGTCCTGTAGTTCTCAACACCTTCGAGGGGGCAGGGAAATGAGGAGGAGGAGTGGTGGAAAAGGAACCAGGGAGAGGCAATGTGGCCAGAAGAACGGAACTGCTCTTCCGAGGGCGAGGGCACGGGTCCAGGCCGCGTCCCCAGGTTCAGCCCCTTCAAGCGGCCAGCTTATGTTGTCACCTTCGCCTTTTCAATTAAAAAAAAAAAAAAAAAAAGACACGACACCTGGCCAGATCAGAGAGAATATTCGAAAAAGAAAGATATCCGGTCTCGTGAGAACTTCAGCACCCGACGGCGTCCGGGAACGCCTCCGAGGACCGCCTGTCCAACGGCCTCCCGCTCGCGAATGCCCCCGGGGGCCCGACGCCCGGCCGGGCATCCCCTCGCGCTCCCGCTACCCACAAGCCACCGCGCCCCGCGCGCACGCGCAGCGGCGACGGCCGTCTCAGGAAGAGGAAAATGGAATAAACAACTCCGAGGAACCCGAGCGCGAGGGAGCGAGTGGAGGCAGAATTTAAAAATAAACCGGCCCCTCAGCTCTTCCCACCCGCTTGCCGCCGCCGCTCCCTCTCCCCCAGGCCCGCGCCCTCGAAGTCCCTATTTGGGCACCGCGAGCCCACCCCGTCGTCCCGCGCGGCCCCTTTAAGAAAAGAGAACGACAGAGTGAGTGAGTGAGAGAGAATCCCAACTCTCCCCCTCCCCTCCCTCCTTCCTACCCCCTCCTCCCTCCCCTCTCCCCTCCCCCCTCTCCCCGGGCGGCTCCGGCTCCCGCAGCGGGACAGACCCGCCCGCTCGGGCTTTTATCCGGCACCGTCTTCCTTCCCTCCCCCGTCTATGGTGGCGGCGGCGGCGGCAGGCGAGGCTGCGGCGTTGCCATGAACAGTGGCGGCGGCCTCCCGCCCCCCTCGGCCGCCGCCTCCTCTTCCTCCTCCTCGCTGGCGGCGGCAGTGGCGGTGGTGGCCCCGCCGGGGGTCGGGGGTGTCCCCGGCGGGGCGGCGGGAGTGAAGCTCAAGTACTGCCGCTACTACGCCAAGGATAAGACTTGCTTCTATGGGGAGGAGTGTCAGTTCCTGCATGAGGACCCGGCCGCCGGGGCTGCCCCGGGCCTCGGCCTCCATAGCAACAGCGTCCCCCTGGCGCTGGCCGGCGCGCCGGTGGCCGGCTTTCCGCCCGGAGCCGTCCCAGGCGGGGGAGCCGGGCCGCCCCCGGGACCCAAGAAGCCGGACCTTGGGGCTCCGGGGCCCGCGGCCGCAACCGGTGGAGGAAGCGGCGGCGGGGGACTCGATGGACCGCGGCTGGCAAGTGAGTGCGGTCCGGGCGGGGTGCGGGGGAGGCCTGGGCCGGAGGACGCCCTGCGGCCGCCGCGAAGCGAGAAGCCAGCGCGGCCCGCGAGTTCACCTCCCTTCACCTCCCGGGGCGGTCGGAGAGGCCTAGGCCAGGCCCCAGCCCTCCTTCCTTCTTCCTGCTTCCCCTCCCCACTGGCTTGGGCGAGCCAGGGAGCCTGGGGAGGCTGGGTTCCCGGGAACGCGGGTGGGTGGACTGGGGTGATGGGAGTGGGGGCGGGGAAGGAGGGGGATGGGCGGTGGCGTGCGGAGTGCGAGAAAGGGGGTGTCGTTTCCGGGGGGGGTGTGTGGAAAGGGGCCGGGTTTGCGAGCACATGTGCTGTGCGTGCCCGTGTGGTGCGGTGTCTGCAGAGTTGGGGTTCCCCAGTGGGAAGGGAGTGTGTGTGTGAGTAGGGGACGCGAGGCGAGGGGCAGGCTCCAGGCTTGTTGGAGTAGCTTGAAAGAACGGAAAAAGTTTGTAGGAGGCTTGCAGGACCGAGGTTTCCAGGCAGGGAATGCTTTCTAGGGATCTGGAGGGAGTGGACTGCAGCTTTTCTGCTGTGCGCAGGTTTAATCGAGTGTCTAGTGTAGGAATTTCACAAGACTTTGCGTTTCAACATAGCTTTCTTGAAAGCTAGCGTCAGTTAACTGGGTGTCAGTCGGGATCCTGCCTTCCTCAACTTTGTACCAAGCAAACTCTTAACATTGTGCCTTGGAAGTGTTTCTTGTGCAGCGCACGTTTGTGTACGAGTGAGCACTTGGTGAGAATAGTTTAGGGCTGTTGATAGTTTGTACTTTTAAGGTTATTGTCTGTTGACTTGTAGCCTTTGAGTTGTGAAGTGGAGTTTGCTGTTATTCTAAGTGTAAGTGTAAGCTATATGTTGCGGAATGTTGCCTTTGAAAGCGTACTGTAGGTGCCAGAATTTTCCTTTTTGTTGCTAAGTATATTGTTTTCTAGGGGAGTCTGAATAGCTTTTAGATCCTGAATTAAATTGATAGGGAGAACGTTTTTGACTTTTTAAAAACTCTGTAAATAAACGTATGATGTTTAAGCACTTGTTCTCTGAACGTTCCCCTCCCCTTTTCTGGAGAATTTTATTTCTTTTGATTGTATTTCTTGTTTTATAGTGCTGGGGATCGAACTCAGGGCCTTGAACTTGCTAGGCAAGCGCTCCACCACCGGGCTATCTGCCCCACTCAATGGGCTTGACTTTAGTGTAGATATATTTGGTAGGGCTGATATGCTAATTTTATGTTAATTTTAGATACTTTATAAAAACGATTACTTCATTGATGGAATTTATCACTTTTGAGAGGCAGCTTTTCATTTTCAAGGTAAATTTTTGCTGGATACCTGTTCTATTTAATAAGCGATCTTTCTAAGGTTTTCTTATTAGATACAAAGGAGAGTAGAGTTTGCACATGAAAGATAGGAAAGAATATATATAAGCTGTGAAGATGGGAGTGAAGAAGGCAAGCACATTAGGTGGAGGACCAATTGGAGCAATGACTCAAACGTGGGACCATTCCATAGTTTAGAAAGGATCGTTGAAACACAGAATCTGGAGAGAACAGTTAGTACTGAGAAAACATTTTGAAATTAATACTTAGTCATTTAATAGTTATCTCATTTATATTTATTTATTTTGTAGAGTGGGTCTGAACTCAGGGCCTACACCTTTAGCCCTTTTTTGTGTTTAAAAAAAGTTTTTTTTTTTTTTGAGATAGCGTCTCTCAGAACTATTTGCTTGGGTTGGCTTCAAAGCTCAATCCTCCTCATCTCTGCCTCCTGAATAGCTAAGATTACAGATGTGAGCCACCTGGGCCCAGCTCAGTTATCCCATTTAAATAGCTCATTTACATATATGGTGTCTGTGGCTTTTGCTTTAATTTGATAGACTGATGCTTCTTGTTTCTACAGTAGGCTTCTTGGTATCTCTTGAGTGGGATAAAATTGCTTTATATCATGAGTGGCAAGTAAAGCTGCTTAGGAATCTGGGAAAAGAGTTATGTTGGAAATAGTTAAAACAGGCAGTAGATTCTAGTATTACTATTAGAAGAAATCTAAATTGTTTTAGTTGTTGATTTGATTTTGTAGCATCACTAAGGCAATTTTGCTTTTATTTTTTCTTAACTCTTTAAATGTAAATATGTACCATATTTCTTTAGCTGAGAGGCCATAAGCGGATCTGCTATCTAATAACTGAATGTGCCTGCAGAAATACCTTACTTGACCTCCATGGTATTTTGTATGTGCATATTATGTGTTTTAGACTTTTTATTGATGTACTTACATAAAATAAGACTTACTCCATTTTGTTATTCTAGAACAGAATATCATAGACTGGGTAATTTTTTTTTGTTTTTGGTGGGATTGGGGTTTGAACTCAGGGCTTTGCACTTGCAAAGCAGGTGCTTTACCGCTTGAGCCATCCCTCCAGTCCACTTTGGTTTCGGTTATTTTGGAGATGGGGGGCTCACAAACTATTTGCCTGGGCTGGCCTAGAACTGCAGTACTCCCAATCTCTACCTACCAGGTAGCTAGGATTACAGGTGTTAGCCACTGGAGCCTGGCTTAGACTGAGTAATTTATAAAGAAAAGAAATTTAGCCGGTGGAGTGGCTCAAGTGGTAGAGTGCCTGCCTAGGAAGCATGAGGCCCTGAGTTTAAACCCTAGTGCCACTCCCCCTCCCCCCCTCAAAGTTTTTGTTAAAAAATTTTAAAAAAAGGCTTTGTTAAGAAAAGAAATTTATTTCTCACCATTCTGGAGGCTGGAAAGTCCAATATCAAATACCAAGTTGCTGGCGTCATGAGAGGGCCTTTGTGCTGTGCCATCTATGGCAGAAGGGACAAGAGAGCAAGAAGGTGCCCAAACTTGCTTTTATAATAAGCCCATCCTTGAGTTAACTAATCCAGTCCCTTAGTAACAACAGTAATCCATTCATGAAAGCAGAGCCCTTCTGAATTAACCACTTCTTATTGGGCCTTAGTTCCCACGTGCTGATTTGTGGATTAAATTTTGAACACATGAACTTTTGGGGACAAATTCAAGTGTTCTGCCCCTGGGCCCCCAAGTTCATGTCCTTTTCACAATACAAAATTCATTCATTACATTTCAGTAATCACAAGTTTTAACTGATGCCAGTATCAACTTAAAAGTCCTAAGTCCAGAGTCTTACCTAAATCAGATACAGGTGAAATTCAAAGATGAGGTAAATTCATCTTTAGTTGCCCCCTTCTGTCTCCCCTCCCCAGCACGGAATTAACAAATTACATGCTTCCAAAATAACAATGATGGAACAGGTATAGGATAGACATTCTCAAAGGGGTAACTTGTCCCAAGTAAGTTTATAAGCTGACAGGGGAAATTAAGTCTTAAAGCTGGATAGTAAGCTCCTTCGACTCCTGGGCCCACACCTTTGGCTTTGCTGGGCTAGTCTATCCAGCATCTGTCACTGGTTGGATTCTCTTGTCTGCTGCTTTCCCAGGCTGGAGTTATGGTGTTGGGATGGTCTGCTAGGCATTATCCTAGTGGAGTCTGTCTCACCACCTGTCAATGCCAGGGCCCCCATGCTGTCCACGACATCCTTTGAAATCTAGGTGGAGACCACCATGGCTCCACTGCTCTTGCATTCTGTGTGCCTACAGAGTCAATACCATGGGGATGCCACCAAGTTTTACAGCCTGTACCTTCTGGAGTGGTGGCTTATACTACATCTGGGTCCACTTGAGCTGCAGCTACTGGGAGCTGGCAACAGTGCTGAGGTGATTCTTGGCAGCACGCTGGTTGAGGGTACTGGCCAGGTCCTCAGAACCATACTGCTCTCCTAGAGCTCTAGGCCTGTGGGAGAGGCAGTCTCAAAGATCTCTGAAATGGTCACATGCCCATGGCTCATGCCTGTAACCATAGCTACTTGGGAGGCTGAACTCAAGAGGATAACGGTTGGAGGTCAGCCTGGGCAAATGTTTACAAGACCCCCATCTCCAAAATAACCAAAGCAAAATGAACAACCAAGTCACTCTCATCTTCTTGATCCTTTTTATCTGTAGTAATTCTCAACAAAGGTTAGCGTGCCATATTGTTAAGAGGTTTGCACTCCTAAACATCTCTTTTTACATTTTACATGATTGGGCTGTAAATTTTCCAAATCTTTTTGTTCTGGTTCTCTTAGTTGTAAGTTCTGCCTTTATAATCTTTTCTTTCTTCTCAAAACTTACTGTATGAAGTTAAAAAGTAGTCATGTAGCTCCTTTAACATTTTGTTTAGAAATTTCTTTTGGCACAGATTCTCTAGTTCATCATTTTTAAGCTTCATTTTCCATAAAGTCATCAAACATGGACACAATTCAGCCAAAATCTTTGTGACTTTGTAACAGGATGGCCTCTACTACAATTTCCAATACCTTATTCCTCTTTTCTACCTGAGATCTCATCAGAATTACCCTTACTCTGTTTCTACTTAGCATTCTGATCATGACCACTTAAATCATCTCTTAAGAAAATCCTTACAGCTATTTTCTTCTGGGCTCTCATTGGAATTGTCCTTGATGCAATGTTTACAACAATACAAACTTTTCTAACATTCACTTCAGAATTGTTCCAGCCCCGACCTATTTCTACTTCCAAAGCTTCTTCCGTGTTTTCAGGTGTATCTTCTAGCAACAGTTCCATTTCTCAGTACCAGTTATCTGGTTGCTGTATGTTTGCATTGCTGTAAAAGAGTACCACAGAACCAGTACTTTATAAAATGAAATTTATTTTCACTGTTCTTTATGCTGGGAAGTCCAATATCAAGGTGCCAGCATCTAATGGGGGCCTTTGTGCTGTGTTATAGAAAATGGAAGGCAAGAGAGCAAGCAGAGCTGAACTTGCTTTTTTAAATAAGCCCACTCTGGCAATAAGTAACCCACTCTCACGATAATGATATTAATCACAAGGACTCTGCCTTCATGAACTAATCACCTCTTACTAGACCCTACC